AGGCATGGAGAAGTGAAAGTGAAAGACATGGAAGAAAATAAACACCCACACAGAAACATACTGTTTTGATATAACTCGCTTGCGGACGAACTCAGAGGCTGTGAAAACGAACGAAGGATTAACATCGGATTGATTTATGAGAACCGCATGGACTAATTAAGAAAGCAGCGCAAATGTGAAGTGATGGCAATCCTCCAGCCTCAGGGCGTAGGAAGTGAAAACAAAGATTTATGATTTGGCTTCATATTTGGAATGTTTTATTATTTTATAATTCAGAATGTTTTTAATGTGGCCTTTATTGGATTAAACGGCCTGGGTCCTGTATACCTGAAGGAGTGTCTCCACCCCCATCGTTCAGCCCGGACAATAAGGTCCAGCCCTGAGGGCCTTCTGGCAGTTCCCTCCTTGCGAGAAGCGAAGTTACAGGGAACCAGGCAGAGGCCTTCTTGGTGGTGGCACCCCGCCCTGTGGAACCGCCCTCCCACCAGATGTCAAAGAGAAGAACAACTACCAGACTTTTAAAAGACATCTGAAGGCAGCCCTCTTTAGGGAAGATGTTTAATAGGTTATTGTATTTTAATATTCTGTTGTAAGCCGCCCAGAGTGGCTGGGAAAACCCAGCCAGATGGGCGGGGTATAAATAATAAATTATATTATTATTATTATTATTATTATTATTATTAGCATCCTATTTCATAACAATAACAACAACAACTTTATTATTTATACCCTGCCCATTTGACTAGGTTGCCCTTGCCACTCTGGGAGGCTTCCAACATACAGTGGTACCTCGCAAGACGAATGCCTCGCAAGACAAAAAACTCGCTAGACGAAAGGGTTTTTTGCTTTTTGAGCTGCTTCGCAAGACGATTTTCCCTATGGGCTTGCTTCGCAAGACGGAAACGTCTTGCAAGTTTGTTTCCTTTTTCTTAACACCGCTAATACAGTTGCGACTTGACTTCGAGGAGCAACTCATAGCACGCGGTGTGGTAGCCTTTTTTGAGGTTTTTAAAGACTTTGGTGATTTTTGAAGCTTTTCCAAAACTTTCCCGACACCGTGCTTCGCAAGACGACAAAACTCGCGGAACGAATTAATTTCGTCTTGCGAGGCACCACTGTATATATATTCCCAACCGCCCCCTGTTCTCATGAGGCCTAGAAGCTTCCTGCTTAAAGAGGAAAACGCAGAAGCTGAGAAATCCCGGCGGACCTGATCTCCGACCCGCGCTCGCCTCTCTGCGTTTCCCAGCTGCGGATGCGGCCCAAGGAGACCAGCCGCCCTGCAAAGCCAGCTTACCATTTCCAGCAGCTTCAGCTTCTCCTCGGACACCAGGTTCTCCTTCCGCAGCTGCTCCACCACCCCTTCCATGGCCTCCAGCTTCGCGCAGTGCCGGCGGTGCCTCTGCTGGAGAACCTTCACCTTCTTCTGAAGGCCCATCACCACCTCCACGAGCTCCGAGGTCGCCCCCTCCTGCTTGTGGTAGCGGTGCTCCTCCAGCTGCTCCTCCAAGGACTCGGCCGAGCTCAGCTCCTCCAGCTTCTCCTCTTCCGCCGGGGGGGCCTTCCGAGGCGCCTGGTTGGAGACGATGGGGACGGTGGAGACAATGGGGAGGCTCAGGGCGGAGGACAGCACCGTCTCTGGGGGGGTCACGCCGGAAGAGGCGGCAGCCGTGATGGGCGCCGTCGGGATGGTCTCGAAGTACGCCACCACCTCGGCGGCCGGCTCCTGCAGGGAGCGCAGGACGGCGGCGGCGGAGGGGTCAGTCTCCAGAAACGGCTCGATGGAGACATTCTCGATGATGAGCGCCCCTTGCTCCGTCGCCATGGCTGGGTCGGTCATCAGGGCCTGCAGCGGCGGCTGGTTGGCAGCCGCCGCCACCTCGCAGGGCACGGCCACCTCTGCAGAAAAGGGCTCAGAGGCCCCCCTGGACGAGCCCGGCGTAGCTTCTAGGGTCGCCGGCGGCAGCGAGGCCAAGAAGTCAACGACCTGCTGCTCCACCCGGTCCGGGAGAGGCTGGCTGGCATCAACCGGGGAAGACACAGTCAGCGTCACGGCCTTGAGGGGCTCCACGATTTGGACCAAAGGCAGCAGGTTCACAGCCCCGCCCAAGGGCCCTGAGAGGGCAGGGAAGTCTGAGGCGGAGGACTGGGTCTCCACATAGATCGGGGAAGCTGCCACGCTGGGGTCAATGGCGATGGCAAGTGTTTCCAGGGAGTTTGGCTCAGGGCAGCTTATGGCTTGGGGTGCCGGCATGCTCCTCTCCCCTTGGAATTCAATGATGAGCTTCTTAGCTGGGACATCGGAGGAAGTCCTGGCCGGGTTTTCCCTCTTCTGCAAAAGCGAAAGCAGACAAATGAGCAGCTGTCCTTGCAAGATAATAAATAATAATACCCCGCCCCTCCCGGTTCAAAAAAACGGGCTCAGGGCAGCTAACAACAAATTTAAAACACTTAATGGATGCAACAAAAACAGCATAAAATACAGTATAAAACATGAATAACAATAAATTCAGAATTCAAAAATCAATTTAGGGGGGAAATCCATCCAATAAACATTAGATGGTCACCAGGGCTAGCTGGCTGAATTAGTCCTATTAGGGCCTGCAAGGAGACCAGGGGAGAATTAGCTGTGGGATCCCAGAGCGGGGAATCTTCATAAAAAGGGGAGGGGGAGGGAAGGGAGGGAGGGAGGTGTGCAGGGCTACCGATTCCCACAAGGTGAGCTAGACAAGAGGAGGCCCTGAACCCCACACTGCGTTCCTTCTGTTACCGGAAAAATCCGAGGGCTCCCTTGGACAAAAAGTAAAGACACCAACCAGAGTAAATTGGAGCAAAACAGCAGCCTGTAGGCTTGGCCTTTATTGAACTGTTGCAACAGGGTGTTCCCCTCATTTGCAGGAGAGAGGAAAGACACAGAAAAATGGTGTGCAAGGCCTTATAAAAACTTTTGAAATTCCCACCCTGTAGATCAAGCCCACCCCCAGAAACATCATACATACATCACAGAAAGGAGGGGTTGAGGGAGGGGTGGTGGTGGTAACCTGAGTGTCCTGTCACCTGGCTGGTTCCCTTCTCCCCCTCCCCATGAGTCATTTTCAGAAGGGGGAATCATTTTCAGAGGGGGAATCCAATCACTGTTGTTTTGTTATAGTCCGTGTTGAGTGTGTTGAATCCACTCGTGTATGCAGTCCATTGTGTTGTTGATGGTCAGACCATCAGGGTTGGCATAGCAACTGGGCAGGGCTCCTGTGGATGTACTGGGATGTTCAAGGGATTATGGCTGGCCTGTATCAAACCTTCCCCATTTTGTAGTCCTTCCTTCATGGAGTAAAATAAAAGTGGAACAGTGCAAATCCGATGTATGGTTGATTTTTCTATGAATTCATAACAGAAGCATAGTGTATGTAGTGTGTGAGTGTGTGTGAAGTTTGTACAAACTGAATGATTGGGGGGGGGGTGTTTCCTGCTACACTTCCCCTTGTTTTTAAAGTGCCTGATATTTCCTAGGAGCTGTGCAAAGATGGTAAGAACACCCCACAGCCTTTGCTCACAGGTTTAGTCTAAGAGGCAAGACACAGATTGAAAAATAGATAAGAGAACAGGGGAAGAAGCACATTCAAGCACTAACCACAAAAAGTCTTGTGGTGCCTTAAAATAGACTAAACAGATTTATTGCGGCTTAAGACAGATACAAGACGAACAACAACAACAATAAAAAAAAACCCAACGTGTTGGGACACAAGACTCTCTGATGCAACAGACGAGCACTGCAACCAACGCGAATGGCTTTAAGAGAAGATTGATGGAGGAGGACAGGCCTAGTTCTGGCTACTAGGCATTATGGCTCTGCTGATCCACCACAGCTGGGAGGCAACAATGCTTCGGAAACAACAGGAGGGGAACATGCTCTTGTGCTTGAAATCCTGCTTGCATTTGGTTGGCCGCTGTGAGAACAGGATGCCGGGCTACAGGGGCCATCGGCCTGGTCCAGAAGGCTCTTATGTTCTTTGGAAATTCAAGGACTAGCTCAGGCATCCCCAAACTCAACCCTTCAGCTGTTTTGGGACTACAATTCCCATCATCCCTGACCACTGGTCCGGTTAGCTAGGGAGGATGGGAATTGTAGTCCCAAAACAGCTGGAGGGCAGAGTTTGAGGAAGCCTGCACTAGCTCTACGTAAAGCTACATCAACGCCTCATGCCCTGAATAGAATGGTTTCTGAGAAACCAAAGGGCGACTTATTCATGCAATTTCTTATCTGTCCTTTACCCAGGGGTAGGTTACGGTGATAAAATATATAATTGGCCCCAGCAGAGCCAATAGGGGGGGGGGGTCTCCCAGCCTTTCCCCTTCCTCTGCTGCATACAGGTGGGAGGGCTGCTAGCAGAAGACCATTCCTGACCACATCTAGGCTGCTGGATTGCTGCATTGCTACAATGCCAGAGGGGGCGAAGAACTTTGGTGTGAGCTGGAAGCGCCCAGTCCAAATGCCACCAGAGCTACAAACTCAGCAGGCAGCCAATCCGTTCTTATACACCATACATTTAGAGCACATGACTTCTCCCAAAGTATCCTGGGCACTGTGGTCTGTTACAGGGGCTGCGAAGGGATAAACTACATTTCCCAGGATTCGTTGGCGGAGATAATGTGCTTTAAATATGTGGTGTATCTGCAGCCCCAGGCATCCCATACTGTTTGAGGACAGTGACCAGGAATCCATGCGTTTTGTCTGGCCTTTGTTTGCCAGGAGACGAGTTTGCCACCACCTCCGTCCCAGCCAAATTCACGCTGTGCTTTTGCCTCTGAGGGCAGCATGACCACATGGGACAGAGCTGGTGCCCGCCTGTCATATGGTGCTTCAGAAAGCAAGACATCCAACTGACATCTGGGAGACGGCTTTGCCTTTCTTCTAGATGGTCAGTAAGGCCTTGACAATAATGCTCATATGTTGCAGAGGTTTTCATTAGGGAGAGCTGAAAATGTGTACCTTAGGCACTGAAAGAGCACTATTTAGAGGCTAAGCATTATCAGCCAGATGATACTCCTCCTCTCCAGTTTTAGGACTCTTACTCCAGGTCACCCATTACAGGAGCCCACAGAGGAAAGTGGGCGGGGGGGGACAGGGGAGAGAGACCGAAACATTCCATCAGTCTGCAGCACAGGAAGAGATGAGAAAGCAGCGCCGCTCAGTTAGCTCTGCTCCTCTCTCTCAGCCATTTTATATTTAAGCTGGTCATTTATAAGAACTGCGTAAACTTAAGAACCAATGCCTCTTTGCTTGCCTACCCTAGCTCTTTTCCATTTTGTGTCCCATTATTAAGATTGTAAGCCTGTGGGGCAGGGACCGTTTTGTTCATCACTCATCTCACACGAGCCAAAGAGCCAGGTAAAAGTGTTTCAAATAAACGCAGACATTTGTACAATGCTGCAGCATGTGGAGTGCAGAACCTGAGTAACCAAGGAAAAGATCAGGGCATCATTCTACACTCAGGGCTTTGGTCCCTCTTCAGCCAGCCTTTGATCTCCACCTGACATAGACCAGTGTTTAGGACACGTGGCTTTAACTGCTTTAACACACAGCGGTTATTACCCTCAAAACATGCTCCCAGTAGTGGAACATACACAAATCCACCTCTTAACCCAATACTCTGCGGTGTTTATTATTCTGTGTTACAAATCACATGGCAAAGGTTTGTTTGCTCTCGGATCCAAGTCCAAGATGCTGCGCAGCTGAGATATATACATATAGCAGCCACCGGGGGGGGGGGGGGCTAGGCTGCATCTAACTAATGTCATCAGCATAAACAGTTTGTGAGAGCAAAGTGGCATGCAAGGATCCAGTACAGACTGGACTTCTGTCATTAGCAAGTGAATCTCCCAAGCACAAAAGTGGAGAGATTTAACATAGGATAATAACATGACCAGGCCCACTCTGAAATTTAACCAGCCGTCTGCTGTGGGTTTGTCGGCTGCTAAATTTGAGCGCACGACCAAAATGACATTGATATCAGGCTGGCACTTTCCCTTGCTAGAAACATTTGTGCTTAGACAAGCCTACCCAGGTGTTTAGAAAGCCGATGCAAGTTTTAATCTGTTTTTAGTCTATTGTTGTTTCAACTTTTTGAAAGTCTTACATTCTTTTTGTTAATTTCGATACATTTTTTGTAAACTTCTTTGAGGATCCCCCCCTTTTACAATCAAGCAGTGTATACATTTTATGAAATACAATTGAAAAAAAACACTCTTTGGCTACCAACTCGCTTTTTTCTTTCACTGCTGTAACCCACCCTGAGCATCTCCTCCAGAAAAGGCTCCAATTCCAAACAGATTTGATTTAAATGCTATGTTAGGACCAAGGAGCCTTTTTCAGCCCAGGGGCCATGTTGCTTAAGGAGCAGCCTCCTGGGTGGGGGCTGCGTGCCAGAGGCAGACCTGCCCAAAGGCAAACATGGGCACCCAGCAAAAAGATCAGCTGGGGAAATGGCAATTCTCCAACATACTTTCTTGGCAGGTGACCAACCACTCACCAGCGAGCCTTCTGAGGTCTGGAAGATGGTGGGAACAGCGTCAGGCTTCAGGAAGCGCGCCCCCCACCGGTATTCAAAACAGGATGGGGCAAAGTGCTCGCTGCACAAGTGCTGGTGCTTCGTCGGGACCCACTTTTCCTGGTTCATCTGGGAGAGCCATTGCTGGAGACGTTCAGGATTGTGCAGAGGAAACCTGTGTGGAGGAGTGAATAAATGCCAAAGTCTACACACCTGTAGCTGAAATAAGTGCATGTTCCTCCCCTCTTTGGCCCAGGTCTCCATTCCCCTCCAGGTCACCTGTGGCCTCCCTAATTTTTTCTCTAGCATGTAAGCCTCTTGGGAAGGGACCTGTCCTTTCGCCAGGGGTGTCTGGTGTCTACCGGGACAGAAGGCAGGAAGACCTACAGCAGGCAGAGGTAACAAATTCTGGTTTTGCCCCCATCCTCCTCCCTGCTGAGTTTTACAAGGACAATGCTAAGACTAAAGAAGATGCAGTTGGCAAAGCAGTGCCACCCTATGGCTTGGATTTAAGATAGAAGACAGGCAGGTGGTGGCTGAGGGCAGACTAAGGTGGGGCAAAACTATACTTGCCCTTATGGGCCAGCCTCTGCCTGCTGCCTTTTGGTCTTTTTAAGGCAGCACGTGCATGGCTGGTGCCAAATAAATATACTGACACACCTGAGCACCCTTTTGTCAAACACATACAGTGGTACCTCGGGTTAAGAACTTAATTCATGCTCAAGGTCTATTCTTAACCTGAGACAACACTTTAGCTAATGGGGCCTCCCACTGCTGCCGCGCTGTCGCCATGCAATTTCTGTTCTCATCCTGAAGCAAAGTTCTTAACCTGAAGCACTATTTCTAGGTTAGCGGAGTTTGTAACCTGAAGCATCTGTAACCTGAGGTACCATTGTATATAGTACGATGTGGGACACCCCCATTTTACAAGGGAGACATACACACCTCAACAGTCAAATGAGAGAAGCTGAGTGACTGAATATCCAATCCCTTTACTTTTTATTTAAAAAGCAGCCACAGGGTGTACAAGTGTGAATCAGATCAGAATCGTAGGCCCTGCACACGCTCTACCTTTAGAGAACACTCACGACACACTTCCACCTCAAAAAAATTCTGTGTGCTGCAATTCACCCCTCACAGAGTTATACTTCTCAGCAACCCATAACAATCTGCAATGCCCAGAATTCTTTGGGGGAAAGAATGTTCTCTCAATGTACTTTAAAGGCGTAGGTATGTACACAGCCTTAGTCCTGGGGAAAGGATACTGCTTTCCTGACCCTGCCCTGCTTCCAGCAAGGTAAATTCCCCCCCTGGAAAAATGAGGTGGGAGGAAGATTTACATTGGGAAAATAGAAAGGCGGGGGCAGAGAGAGGATGATTAAACTATTCTCCCCCAGGGCTCAGGGCTAATGTCCATATCTAGTCCCACCCTGCACTTCCAAAAGAAATGCAAAAAGCAACAACAACCCCACCCACCCGGCTCTCCTATCACCAACGTCTGATCTAGTTTGGCTTGTCTCCTATTATCAAGGAGAGAGTGAATTAAGTAGCCTTAGCAACTACTGAGTGGCTTTAGAAACGCAGCTATTCAAGATTTAAGAAGGAGGAAGATAACAGGAGGGTGAAGCAATCTGGAGGCTGCCTGAAAGAATACTTTGAGAAGGAGGGGGGGGGGCTCTTCACTATCCATTCAAGAGCCAACCCCCAAGGTTAACCTTCCGTATCTGAAGCTCTAGAAATGAAAGACTAAATAATAATGTACCCATATCTTGTTTTTCTGCAAAAACGGACAACCAAAGCGGCTTGAGATGTATGCGACATGACCGTGTTACAAAGCATAACCACATATTCTGGTTCCTCTTTCTGGCTTCCTCAGGTTGGGTGAAAAGAAATAAAACCAATGTGGTGGAAGTCGTGGACGCTGCTTACTAGGAAGTGAAATTCGAGGAAAAGTACTGGGACGTCCTTCCTTCCAAGGACCACAGTCTTAAAAACAAATTATAATATACATGTCGGTGTTGACATGTTGAGCTTGGCAGGCCTGAGTTAAGCCAGTTACACCAACCTGGTGCCTGCGACGCCCCCCACGCAATTTTGGGCTACAATTCCTAATGGGGTTGTAGTCCAAAACACCTGAGGATGGCACCTGGTTGGCAAAGGCGGGCTTAACGGGATGTCATGCAAACAAGACAGCAAAGTATCTAGGCTACAGCCGGGAGTTCGATGCAGGGTGGAACGCCCTCTTATCAGATGTTAAGGAGGTGAGCAACCATATAACCATTAGAAGATATCTGTATCTGAAGGCAGCCCTGTAGAGAGAAGCTTTTTAATATGCAATGTTTTTATATGTATGTTGGTAGCTGCACAGAGCGCTGGGGCAACCCGGTCAGATAGGCGGGGTACAATTAACAAAATAATGATGATGATTTGAAGCACTGGTCTTCAACTGGTGGGCTGGAATCCACCAATGGGTCATGGCCTGATCCAGGGCGGGTGGAAACAGGGGCACCAACTAAAATATATGGAGAAAGATTAAGAAATGGGACCCCAAACGCGTGGCTCCTGGGTTCGGGAAAGTTGCCCGATTTAAAGCACCCACAACCAGGGGGGGTCCCCCTATCCCCCACACCTTTAGGGGGATGCCCTCCCCACTTCCTTGGCTTCCCCACGTGCAGGCAGGGCCAGATTGAGGTTTGATGCGGCCCTCAGCTCCTGAAGGAAATGGGGTCCTTTACATGTCCAGCTGTCCTTTGTCCACAACAAATCGCTGCTGTTTTTTGTGTTGAATATACGCTATACAGTGGTACCTTGGGTTAAGTACTTAATTCGTTCCAGAGGTCGAAAATGGTTTTGAGATTTCAAAATATTAAGCAGCTTAGAAATGTGTTTAATTAGTAAACAGGCTGTCTCAGCAGCCCACTCTGTTTATTCCCACAAAACTATGCACACAGTTGCCTCAAACGCTGTTGCATCTGCTGCAGATTTTGCAATGGCCCCGTTGTGTCCCAGTCGCACTACAGCCGTACCTCAAGTTAAGAACCTAATGGGGCCTCCTGCTGCCGCCACGCGATTTCTGTTCTCATCCTGAAGCAAAGTTCTTAACCCGAGGTACTATTGCTGGGTTAGCAGGGTCTGTAACCTGAAGCGCCTGTAACCCGAGGTACCACTGTATATGGTAATTTATGGACCTCATAGGTATCTCAAGCCATTGGCACATCACAAAATATGTATTTTATCAAAGTAATTCTTGAACTGAAATACAATTAAGAAGAAGTCTATTAACAGTGAAACACAATTAAGAAGTAGTATATTAATAGGGAAATTATTACTAAGCTCTAACTCAAAATGATTTTGTATTCGTAGCAAACTGAATAATGCAAACGCATTGGCATTGGGCAATTAACTAATAATAATAATAATAATAATAATAATAATAATAATAATAATAACAACTTCCTTGAGAAACACAATTTACAAAGACTCCTAATTTTTTTTGGGGGGGGCAAATAAATCCGGCCCTGGCTTCGCGCGCGCCCCGTTCCTCCCCCCCCCGGTGTCGTCACAACGCTGCCCCGCGACGTCACAACCCCCCGCGTTCTTGTTTTCCCCGGTGACGTCACGCCCCGTCTCCCCCAAACTCCCCCCTCCTTCCCCCCAAAAGTTGACTGACTTGTAGAAACTGAGGCGCCGGTTGTCCGTCCGCGGCTCCCTGGCCGAGTTGCAGCAGTTGGGCGCCCGGCAGTACTTGGTCATGGCCGCCGCCGCCGCCTCTCTCTCCTCGCTTCCCTCACGCGGCCTCGGCAGCACCTGTGGAGAAGGAGAAGCAGCAGCGCCCGGCGGTTGTTGACGTCGCGGCGTCAGCGCCTCCCTCCTTCGGGTCCCTCCTCCCGACCCGTAGACTCCGCCCTCGCGCACGCGCGGCCGGGGCCCGGGAAGCCGGCATCGCGCCCGGAGTGGGAACGTAGAGATAGGAAAAAAGCAGAGAACGCGCGGGTGGGGGCAACGCGGGTGAGACCGTGGAGATAGGGAAATGGCGGCCCACGCCAATGGCAGGCTGGGAATATTTCACTGGGGAGCAGGACTGCCTCCCTCCAATCAGTGGCTCTCAAGCTGGGCACATGCTGTTGGACTACAACTCCCATCATGCCTGAGCTCTGGCCTTGCTAGCTAGGGGTGATGGGAGTTGTAGCTCAACAATATCTGGGGTCCCACAGGGTCCAAGAAGCCAAGAGGAGCGGCTGTTTCCCCCCCCCCACTTGGGATTTTATTTCGTGTGGGGAAATTAATAATAATAATAATAATAATAATAATAATAATAATAATAATAATAATAATTTATTTTTACCCCGCCCATTTGGCTGGGTTTTCCCAGCCACTCTGGGCGGCTTCCAACAAAATATTAAAAATACATCAAACATTAAAAACTTCCCTTAACAGGAAACATGGGATTCACTTTTAATTCTCTTCCCTTCACGTGCCCTTTCTGCCTATCGCTTTCCTATGCTTCTCTTTCTTCGTCCGAGTTGCAGAATGTGGTTCTGAGAAGTTTGCCAACCTTTTCAAAGTTCGTACATTGGGACGTTGTCCTGCGTGAGAGAAAGAGCTCCTGTTTTTTAGGGGGTGCGGGAGAAAGACAGAGGGTTGAACTAGATCAGTGTTTCCCAACCTTGGGCCTCGAGCTGTTTTTGGACTACAACTCCCATCATCCCTAGCTAGCAAGACCAGTGGTCAGGGATGATGGGAATTGTAGTTCAAAAACAGCTGGAGGCCCAAGGTTGGGAAACACTGAACTAGATGACCCTCTGCATCCTTTCCAGCTCTACAGTCCCATGATTCGATTCTATAATTCCGATTTGTTTGGGCGTCCAAATCCAACCCGGAAACTGCAAACCACGTGTGACTCGGATCCAGTAGGCAACGTCATGAAATGCCGAGTAATGCACACGTGCGCTCGCGCATGCACACACTTTATAAAGCAAAAAAGAGGGTTTTCCTACTGAGAAGTGTTGAGTTCCGTGGGGCTGTAAGCTGGGATCAAGCCCCGCTGATCTCAGTGAAAGTTACTTCCGAGTAGACACATTTCTTCCTTTCTTTTTGAATTCTAAATTCTAAACTTGCACTCTGAACAGACGCCTTCTTTTATGGACGGTTGAGCAATTTGCCGCTTGTTAGCCGGATAAGTTTCATCCCATCAGATGTCGGAGATAAACAACTACCTAACATTTAGAAGACATCTGAAGGCAGCTCTGTTCAGGAAAGTTTTTAATGTGTGACATTTTAATGTTTTTTTCATCTTTGTTGGAAGCCGCCCAGAGTCGCTGGGGAAACCCAGCCAGATGGGCGGGGTACAAATAATTTATTATTATTATTATTATTATTATTATTATTATTATTATTATTATTATTATTATGAAATTTACACACTGCTCGATTGGAAAACAAACCAACCAACCAACCAACCAACCAACCAACCAACCTCAAAGCAGTTTGCAAAAATCGGTGTAATAAAGAAAAATTTACAACCCTGCTTTAAAGCATATAAAAGTCAAAATGCTTTTATTTATTTTTATCAATATTTTATTGGTTTTTCCAGATACAGCTTACAGAAAAAAAGACAAAAAAAGAAAAGAACATAAAATAACAGAGGAAAAAAGAGATCAACTTTCCAAGATATTTTTCTCAAAACCAACTGGACTTCCCCACATCTCCCTCACCCTGCATTCTTTACAATAAAGATGTCAGCAAATTATTACCTTGTTTCGTGCATTCTTTTGTACTTTCCAATAGTTATACTTTATGTTTAAAACTCATTATCTAATTACTTTATCTTCAAATAAAAATCATGTTACTTTAAACGTTGGTCCTTTCATAATTATAAACTTAATTTCCAAATCACCGAATCTTATTGCTGAAGCTAGATTTTCTGAATCATGCAAACTCTTAACATTCATATAACTTAAAATATTTTTGTAAATAATCTTTAAATTTCCTCCAATCCTCTTCAATTGTTTCTTCTCCCAAATCTCTAAAAGTCAAAATGCTTTTAAACGGATTAAAGTTTGCATTGGCTTTCTGCGCATTTGGGGAGGCTTGTCTAAACAGGAATGTTTTTCGCAGGCGCCCCAAAGAGCCCAGTGATGTCAAGAGGCAAGGAGTTCCAAAGTGCAGGCGCGACTAGTTGCTACAAACACAAAAAGGGCATTATGTGGCACCTATATCAGTGTCGACTCCGCTGATCGAGTAGATTAGGCGTCTCAGATGAGGGGGGGTGGAAATGGCATTTTAAATTTTTAATTAAATGAACACGCATCGTTGCTCGATGAGATTCGAACCCGCGAACGCGGAGAGCCAGGAGGGCGGGACGGCGCCTCCTCATTGGCTCAGCCGCACCCGGCGGCTCCGTCGGGGAAAGGCGCTTGTTGCGGACACGCCTCGCCCTCCTCATTGGCTGCATTCAGGCGTGACTGACGGGACATCTGCCCAATGGCAGGGCAGAGGCGGTTTTCCGCGCGCTGTTTGGGACGGTTGCGGCTGAGGCGGCGGCGGCGGAGAAAAGAGAGGCCGCGGCGGGGCTCGGACAGGAGCTCCCAAGCCAGCGGGAAATGGCCGGCGGCGGAGGAGGAGGTTTTTACGCGCGACCGTTGGCCTCCGGCGCGGACTCGCCGCCGCTCCTGAGCCTGAGGCGCCGGTCGAAACTCCAGGGGCCGGAGGAGGCGGTGAGGGGCGGGGCCAAGGGGCCGGTGGGCGGGGCCGCGGGTGGGCGGGGTCTAAGCGACTGCCTTTCGAGCGCCGGCGAGAGGCGGGAGAGAAGAACGCTCAGGGGCGGAGCTTGGAGGGACTGTGGGCGGGGCCAAGGAGCTGGGGCGGGGCCAAAGGGGGCTGCCTTTCGAACGCCGCCGAGAGGCGGGAGAGAAGAACGCTCGGGGGCGGGGCTTGGAGGGACTGTGGGCGGGGCCAAGGAGCTGGGGCGGGGCCAAAGGGGGCTGCCTTTCGAACGCTGCCGAGAGGCGGGAGAGAAGAACGCTCGGGGGCGGAGCTTGGAGGGACTGTGGGCGGGGCTACAGCAGTGGGCGGGGTTAAGGGCTTAGTAACGAAGTGAATTTGAATCAGGATTCATAATCTCGGGTTATGTTAAAACATTTAGTCATACCTGTCAACTTTTCCCTTTTCTTGCGAGGAATCCCATTTGGAATAAGGGAATCTCCCTTAAAAAAAAGGGAAACGTTGACAGCTATGCATTTAGTCCATTTATTATAGTGCATAATTCAGTTGTGTTTATAGTGTATATTGACTTACTGCTTATGGTGTGTGATTGGCTGATGTCAGTGCTTTTTTTCTGGGGGGGACGCAGGCAGTGGCGGATTTACGTACAGTATAAGCTAAACAAGCTCTAGTTTACGGGCTCACTCTTGGGGCCCCCAGAAAATTTAAAGGGGGAAAAATTGGAGGTACATTTCCAAAATGTAAGATAAAAAACAAATAAAATAAAACCTACATCCAGCAACAGTCTTTTGTGTTGTGTAGGCTCCTGTGATGCAAGTCATGGGCCCCGCCTGCTACCCTGCTCCCTCAAATATCCCTGGTTTGCTCCTTTCTTTATATAGGGTGCCAACATTCTGCATAGGGACGTGGGTGGCACTGTAATTTAAACCACAGAGCCTCTTGGGCTTGCCGATCAGAAGATCAGAAGCTGGTAAAATGCGGTCTTGACTATGCTACCACTCAGTGGATTTGTAACTGGCTGACTGACCGAACCCAAAGGGTGCTCATCAATGGTTCCTCTTCATCCTGGAGAAGAGTGACTAGTGGGGTGCCACAGGGTTCTGTCTTGGGCCCGGTCTTATTCAACATCTTTATCAACGACTTGGATGATGGACTCAAGGGCATCCTGATCAAATTTGCAGATGACACCAAACTGGGAGGGGTGGCTAACACCCCAGAGGACAGGATCACACTTCAAAACGACCTTGACAGTTTAGAGAACTGGGCAAAAACAAACAAGATGAATTTTAACAGGGAGAAATGTAAAGTATTGCACTTGGGCAAAAAAAATGAGAGGCACAAATACAAAATGGGGGACACCTGGCTTGAGAGCAGTACATGTGAAAAGGATCTAGGAGTCTTGGTTGATCACAAACTTGACATGAGCCAACAGTGTGACGCGGCAGCTAAAAAAGCCAATGCAATTCTGGGCTGCATCAATAGGAGTCTAGCATCTAGATCAAGGGAAGTAATAGTGCCACTGTATTCTGCTCTGGTCAGACCTCACCTGGAGTACTGTGTCCAGTTCTGGGCACCACAGTTCAAGAAGGACACTGACAAACTGGAACGTGTCCAGAGGAGGGCAACCAAAATGGTCAAAGGCCTGGAAACGATGCCTTATGAGGAACGGCTAAGGGAGCTGGGCATGTTTAGCCTGGAGAAGAGGAGGTTAAGGGGTGATATGATAGCCATGTTCAAATATATAAAAGGATGTCATATAGAGGAGGGAGAAAGGTTGTTTTCTGCTGCTCCAGAGAAGCGGACACGGAGCAATGGATCCAAACTACAAGAAAGAAGATTCCACCTAAACATTAGGAAGAACTTCCTGACAGTAAGAGCTGTTCGACAGTGGAATTTGCTGCCAAGGAGTGTGGTGGAGTCTCCTCCTTTGGAGGTCTTTAAGCAGAGGCTTGACAACCATATGTCAGGAGTGCTCTGATGGTGTTTCCTGCTTGGCAGGGGGTTGGACTCGGTGGCCCTTGGGGTCTCTTCCAACTCTATGATTCTATGATTCTATGAATCCCCACGACGGGGTGAGCTCCCGTTGCTCGGTCCCAGCTCCTACCAACCTAGCAGTTCAAAAGCACGGCTTCCAGCGGGAAGGTAAACGGCGTTTCTGTGCGCTGCTCTGGTTCTCCAGAAGCGGCTTAGTCATGCTGGCCACATGACCCGGAAGCTGTCTGAGGACAAACACTGGCTCCCTCAGCATGTAAAGTGAGATGAGTGCCGCAACCACAGAATCGTCCGTGACTGGACCGAACGTTTAGGGGTCCCTTTACCTTTACATTCTGCATAGAATGGTTGCACGGCAACATGTGCAAATGGCTTGAGATACCTATTAGGTCCGCAAATTACCATAAACGCCATATATTCAACACAAAAAACAGCTACCATTTGTTGTTGACAAAGGACAGCTGGACATATAAAGGGCCCCATTACCTTCTGGAGTTTAGG